ACACTCCCATCTTCCTCACACCTCACACCACTGCAGCAGGGCTCCTGTGCAATGACCTCGGGTTACAGCTGGAAGGACAGAAAAGCTCAGGTCCTGTGGAAGGAGGTCTCTAGGGATACCCAAAGACAACGGGGGAGACAAAACAGGGACGCCGCAGGCCATTTTAACCTCTGAAACCTCAGCTGCTGGAAAGAATAAACACAGCCGAACTCCTAAGCAGATAAAGAGAAAACTCCACGCTTAAGGCCTACTACCACAGTTCCTTTACCCCTACCACATATCTGGCTTTCAGCAAAAAATTAAGGGAATGATAACAGGTAAAAAATACAATCTGAAGAGATGCAACAAGCACCAGAAACAAGAGTGTTATGGCAGAGATGTTGGAATTATCAGACTTGGAATTTAAAACAAGCATAGTTAATATTCTGAGGGGTCTCATGGAAAAAGTGGACAATATACGAGAACAGATGGGCAATGTGAGCAAAGAGAAGGAAACTCTCAGAAAAATTCAAACAGAAGTGCAAGAAATAATAAACGCTGTAATAGAAATGAGAAATGCCTTTGGACCCAGCTGGTGTGACTCAGTGGATTGAGCATTGGCCTGAGAATGAAAGGGTCACCAGTTTGATTTCCATTCAGGGCACATGCCTGGGTTGCAGGCCAGCTCCCCAGTTTGGGGTGCATGAGAGACAACTACATATTGATATTTCTCTCCCTCTCTTTCTCTCTCCTTCCCCTCTCTCTAAAAATAAATAAAATCTTTTAAAAAAGAAAAGAAAGAAAAATGCCTTTGATGGGTTCATCTGTAGATTAGACATGGCCAAGGAAAGAATGAGTGTGTTACAAGAAATGTCCATTGAAATTTCCCAAACTGAAAAGCAAAGAGAAAAAAAAAAGCATTGAAAAAGTAGAACAGAATATTCAAGAACAGGGGCAATTACAAAAGGTGTAAAAAAGGCATAATGGGGACACTGAGAAAAGAAAAATGAAGGGAAAGGAAAAATATTTAAAGTAATAGTTGAGAACTTTCCAAAACTAATGACAGACCCCAAACAATAGATCCAGAAAGCTCAGAACATGAAGTAGGGTAAATACTGAAAAATTCACACTTAGACATGTTGTACTTAAACTGCAGAAAATCAAAGACAAAGAAAAAAAATTTGAAAGATGGGGATGGGGAAACTTACCCAGAGGAGAGTAAAGATGAAAATTATATTCAACTTCCCTTCAGAAATCATGCAAGCAAGGAGTGGAACAAATAGTGAAAGTGTTGAAAGAAAAAAAAAGCACCTAGAACCTTATATCCTTCCAAATTGTTCTTCAAAGTGAAGGAGACATACTTTCTCAGACAGACAAAATCAAAGGAAATTATCACTAGTGGACCTGACTTGCAAGAAATATTAAAAGTTCTTCAGAGGGGAGAAAGGGTATAGGTCAGAAACTTAAGATTTCCATTTTTAAAAAAAAAGAAGAAGACTGGCCAAGATGGAGGCATAGGTAGACACACTGTGCTTCCTTGCACAACCAAAATTAAGGACAACAAAAATTTAGAAACAAAAAAACAACCAGATCTGACAGAAAATTGAACTGTATGGAAGTCCAACAACCATTCATCCAGACCAGTGGGAGGGGCAGAGTTGGCAGCCCGCTGAGAGAGGTCTCAGCAGGAAAAAGCGGTGGCTGGAAGACCCCGGGCACAGGGTGGCAGTGGGCAGACCCAGTGAGGTGTGCAAGGCCACTGGCTGACCGCAGACACACATTCACACACAGATAAACCAGGCAAAAACAGGGAACAAGACAGAAAGAGCAATCCAGGGCCCCAGCGTTGGGAAATAAAGCCTAAAAGCACCAATTGAAAACACTTGTGGGAGTTGAGGTGCCGGGAGAGACTCCCAGACTCACAGGAGAGTTTGTTGGAAACACCCACGCAGTCCTAGAACATACCCAAACCCACCCACGTGGGAATCAGCACCAGGAAGGCCCAATTTGCTTGTGGGAAGCAGCAGATGGGACTGAAATATGAGAGCGGAGCAAGCGCCATTCTTCCCCCTCTCTCCCCACCCCCACATACAGAGTCACAACCCAGCAACTGGGTTACCCTGACCTAGTGAACACCTAAAGCTCCGCCCCTCACTACGTAATAAGTGCAACCAGACCCCCCCAAAAAAATGGTTCAAACGGAAGAACAGATCAAAGCCTCAGAGCCAATACATCTAAGCAACCAAGAGATAGCCAAACTATCAGATGCACAGTTCAAAGCACTGATGATCAGGATGCTCACAGAAGTGGTTGAATTTGGTCACAAATTAGATGAGAAAATGAAGACTATGATAAGTGAAATGAAGGAAAATGCACGGGGAACCAATAGTGATGGGAAGAAAACTGGGACTCAAATCAATGGAGTGGACCAAAAGGAAGAAAGAAGCAACCAAACAGAAAAGAATGAAGAAACAAGAATTCAAAAAAATGAGGAGAGGCTTAGGAACCTCCAGGACATCTTTAAATGTTCCGACATCCAAGTTATAGGGGTACCAGAAGGGGAAGAGGAAGAGCAACAAGTGGAAAAGTGATTTGAACAAATAATAAAGGAGAACTTCCCCAATCTGGCAAAGGAAATAGACTTCCAGGAAGTCCAGGAAGCTCAAAGAGTTCCAGAGAAGTTGGACCCAAGGAGGAACACACTAAGGCACATCAAAATTACATTAGCAAAGGTAAAAATGAAGGAGAGAATCCTAGAAGCAGCAAGAGATAAGGGGACAGTCACCTACAAAGGAGTTCCCATCAGACTGTCAGCTGATTTCTCAGAAGAGATCTTGCAGGCAAGAAGGGGCTGGAAAGAAGTATTCCAAGTCATGAAAGGCAAGGACCTACATCCAAGATTGCTCTATCCGGCAAAGCTTTCATTTAGAATGGAAGAGCAGATAAAGTGCTTCTCAGATAAGGTCAAGTTATAGGAGTTCATCATCACCAAGCCCTTATGATATGAAATGTTAAAGGGACTTATCTAAGAAAAAGAAGATAAAACCATGTATAGTAAAGTGACAGCAAACTTACAATTATTAACAACCACACCTAAAACAAAAACAAAAACAAGCTAAGCAAACAACTAGAACAGTAACAGAACCACAGAAATGAAGATCACATGGAGGGTTATCAACAGGGGAGTGGGAAGAGGAGAGAGGGAGAAAAGGTACAGAGAATAAATAGCATAGATGGTAGGTAGAAAATAGACAGGGGGAGGGCAAGAATAGTATGGGAAATGTAGAAGCTAAAGAACTTATGACACATGGACATGAACTAAAGAGGGGGAATGTGGGTGGGAGAGGGTGTACAGGGTGGAGGGGAATGAAGAGGGGAAATTGGACAACTGTAATAGCATAAAGAAAAAATAAACATTTGAGAGAAACCAACAAACCACACTTCCCTTAGGAAATCCTCCCACCTCAGCCCACCCAGTTCTCACTAGTGCCCCTCCTAACTTTCAGGATGCACCCAGCATGGTCCACATCACTAAGGGGGCCTGTATTCTGTCTCACTCAGGGTGGAAAGCTCTGCGTCCCCAGAGGCAAGCCATGAGGTGCTCAGCATCTGATAAATGCGTGAGTGAGTGAGTGAGTGAATGAGTGGGTGAGTGAGTGAGTGAATGGCAAAGCATTCACACCAGAGGCCAAGAGGGTGGTTAAATAGCATGTCTCTTTATTCGCAGTTCACTGAGACTATTCCAAGGCTGCCACTGTTACAGGGGAGGGCTCACCCACAGGATCCTCCCTGCCCAGGTGTGGTCACTCCGCAGGTCAAAGAGGAGGTGGGCGTTCTTCTTACACAGGCTGCTCCTTGACCCTGAAGGACATAACCTGAGAAGCGGAGAAATAGCCACAAGAGCATCGCAGAGATGTGGGAGGGTAAGGGGCAACGTTTGTGCTGGCTGATCCTTCACAGAGCTGGGTGCCAGGAGCAGAGAGACCCACATAAGGAGCAGGTAGAAGTGGGCTGGACAGAGCTGGGATGGAAGCCTGGCTGCTTCCAACTTCAGGAGCCCCTGCAAGCCCCTCAGATTCTTCATCTCAGTTAATGTTATCCAACAATGGGCAGGGCATGGAGCAAAGGCTGGGTGCTGCTGTCAAGGCAACTTTCTGAATGAAACTGAGGCACAAAGGCATCGAGCAACTCCCCCGTGGTGGGGCCAGCCTGGAGCCCAGCATCTGTGGCCGAGGCTTGGCTTCCCCTCTGCAGTCGGCATAGCAGGCACAAGTCATGCCCTCCTAGTAAGGTTGCTTTGAGTCAGATAAGAAGTCCTGACAAAGTGCCTGTGTGGAAGCTGGCATGCGTTAAGTGCTGGACAAATGCCACATTACATTTCTGTAGTTCTCCGTTAAGCTTGTTGGGGGTCAGCTCTGCCTGAATTGCTCTTTTATCCCCTCCCCCCAGCATGCTGACAGCCAGCACAGTCTCCTCCTGGCAGGGGTGCAGTGACCTTCCAGAGCCCCAGAAACATCCAGTGTTATGACCACCACTACCAAGTGCAGGCCAAGAGACCATGTGACTTGAGCCTTCGCCTACTCAGTGCCAGGGCCAAAACCTATGCTCCCTCACCCCACTCCAGTGCCCTGTGATCTTACAGTTTAAAATGGGGTCAGCTGACCAGCTGTGGCCTTGCCTGCAAGCATCAGGAAGGCAGAACACCAGGTCCCACCATGACCTAACCCCAGGTATCAGTGATCCCCAGGCCTGTGCGCAGGCAAGAAGCACTGGTCTGACACCACAGTGAAAAGAATCAGAGAGGCCTATCTGAACTTGACTTTACATCCTTTAAGAGAGGTAGGGCAGGAGCCCCAGGCAGCTGCCTCCTCCCCCACTCGCACCAGCCCCAAGTGTAGGCCCTCCCACTAGGGAAAGGCTAAACCTGATAATCAAGCACCCATGCCAGAGCACTGTCCCTGCCCAGCACAGCCATCTTCTTGTGCCCAGTCCTCACCTGTCAGCTCTTTCACCTGCTGCTCTCAGCAGTCTGAGAAGGAATTTCTGTAGGGAAGCTCCTGAGAAGATTCATTGGTGAGACGGCTTAAGCTGCAGGGCACAGAGGGGAGGGGCCAGGCAGAGCAGAGATTGCAAGTTGGCTGAGCCCACCCAGAGAACACACCCAGACCTCGGCCTGGACGGGGTGGGGCAGGCAGCCCAAGCCTGGGCCATCGGCCCATCTAGACCTAGGAGCAGAGTCATATAGAGAGGCACTCAGCCCAGGTGAACCTCCATCCAGGCTTGGCCAGACCTGGCTTGAGCTGAAGCTAAGGGAAACCATTAGAAGCAAGGCCAGCAGCCACCCCACCCCACTGGTCACCGGTTAGAAGTACAAATCGACTTGTCCCAGCAGCTTACCTTTGTCTCACCTGCTCTATTCGTTCACGCATAACATCATTTCTCACCTCACTTGGCACTTGGAAGATACGGGTATGGCTGCAAAACACCATTCAAACCCCAGGATTTTTGAGTTTCTTTTTCACTAGGCATCGTGAAACTGTTGCAATCATATGAATGATCAGTTTTGACCCCATTGCCATGAACTTTTGAGCTGGACCTTGACCCTCCTACTACCAGGAACTCAAAGGGTTGTTACTAACCAAGTACCCCTGCGCCATCAGATAATCTCAGGAGCTTGCAAACAGTTCTGAGGGGTGCTGAGGAAACAGTCAAGCACCTTTACTAGAATTAGACAGTGGGCCAGGGGTCTTGGAAGACATGGAATCCAGCCCGTCTGAATTGCTCTCCAACCTCGTTATCAGCTCTTGATGATCAGCATTGTGCCATATTCACTGTGGTTTAGAGATACTTCTAGAAAATTCTGTCACCAAGAATCTGCAGGCACCTCATTGCTACTGTTGTTTTCTCTCACCCTGATGCTTTGCCTTCCTCTCAACGGTCCCCTTCCCGTCCTTCCCAACTCCACATCCCATCCTCCCTTCACGAACCCTCCAGTCTAGTGAAATCAGCCTGCCCACTGGCTCTGTGCCCATTGAAACGGCCTTGTCTGGATAGCACTTTGTTGTAGGTGTGCACTTTGTAGCCTTGAATGTGAAACAGAACCAATGCTGTCTGAGTACTTGTCATCTGGGGGAAGTAGGTGTGCTCACAAATAGTGCTCACACCAGGAGGAGCTGGGTCAGTGCCTCAGAGAGAGAGAAGAAAGATGAGGTGATTCCAGAGGAGAGAGATTACCCCCAACAGAGGGGGAAAGGGAGAGGCCTCCGAGAAGAAGGGGCTACAGCACAGGGCCCTGGAGGCCAGACCAAACAGACTGTCACCAAGACTCTTGCATCTGGGGGAGGCCCACCCCAGCTCCTGTTTACCTAAGCCCTGCCCAGAACATCGGTCAGTCCATGCAAATGTCCTTCTGGAAACCTTCCTTGAGTTCCTGGCCTCCATGCCTAGGATTGGTGGGACCCGGTTCCCCAACACTGTGCTCTTGCAGGTAGTCCTCAGGCCTTCTCATTCTGTAACATTCACACACCTTATCCATCCCTTGCATTTCCTTGAGACTAGAGACTCTAATTATTTTTCTCTCTCTCTTCCGGAGAGCTTAGCAAACATACAGTGGGTGGCACACATCAACAAATAAATGAGTGTCCACTGATGCTTCATAAGGGCTGTGTTCCCTGACTACACACTTACTGATGCTAATAGGTGGGTTGTAGGGGGAACCTACAGGGTTTATTGGTTTAAAATCTCCATAGAAACCCAGTGTGGAAACATTATACATAGATGATTGACTATGATTCCTGTAGCATAACTCTAAAGCTTTAACCTAGCTGTGTCACACAGCTAAGGTTTCAAAACATGGTGGAAGATGATGTTCATATTATCCAAACCAAGGAGCTGCCACATTGAGAGCTCCCTGGTGCAGCCACATCATGCATGGACTGGCCTCCCACATGCAAGCCTGAGACTGGATTACAGTCACCAACATTTATGGTTTTAGCGACTGTTGGAAAGTTTCCCATCCAAAAAAAACCTTTCCCAGGGAGGTCTCAACTTCCCCTCCTTTTACATAATTACTAAGTAGTTGAATTCCCATCTAAAATGCTAATGTCACTAGAAGCGGTAAGCACCTGAAAATTGGATACCCTGAAGCAAAAATAAATTTCTTGAGAAATATATCCCCTTGGATAGAAGAGAGAGCAAAGCTGGTGATGGGAGTATGAAAAAGAGCAAGCAGAATGAGAGCAAGCTCCTTCACAGTTTAATCCCACTGTTCTTCTACTGGAAAAAAGATACCCCAAGTGAGCCCAAATCCCAGCAAGGAAATAGAGACACTTATGCCAAGGGAATGAGCCGGCGCCCAAGCCCAGCTCCCTGGGCCTGGCATGAGCAACTTCAGCACCAGTGTGGGGACAGTCTATGCTCGGCAGGCCCCGTGGGAGGCTGGCAAATTATGAGGCTCCCAGAAAGCAGAGCACGTAATTCTAGCCTCAGCGCTGAGGCACCTCCTCTCCCCTCAGCTCCAGATGAGGGCTTTGGCTTCTGCATTTTAAGAGCTTATTTTCTTTAAGCTCTTTAAAGTGCAGTCACTTCTGAACAAATCAACTGCAAAAATAACAGAAGTCTGAAATTTATTCAGAAGCATTTAGGAAACGTTGAATAATCTCAGTTTTCCAACCCCTAAAGTCATTTACATACTTAGGAATGAGTTGGGCTTTCAAGATAGCCAACATATTCAACATATTCCCTTAAGATCCCAAAGTAAGGCTGCAAATTTTCTCAGCAAAAGGCTGTTCTCTCGAGAATAATGGCTGTGGGTCTGTGTTGGCCAGAGAGCTGAGGAGGCGGGCTTGGGGCCTTCTTTGCTTCTCCCTCCCCATAACTTGACTCAGAGCAAATGAGATTTGCTTTACCTCCACCTTATGAACTGAATTCTTGTTCTTTCCTCCAGGACCTCTTGACTCTGGTTTGCTAACAAATCAGACTTTGAGTGATGGTGCTTCACCTAGGAAATTTTGACAGAGTCCACGTAATTACTGCCCAGCAAGAACTCCATGGCTCAGGTAGAGCCCAGCTCCTCCCACTTGCCCAAGATCCTTTGCAGTAGGACCTCCCACCTTCCCCCTCCCTCTCTCCCCACCCTCCTAGGAGGACAGTCTCAAACTCTCCATTACCACATCTCTGGTCACATGTACATTTTCTCCATGGATGGGAGGGAAGTTGTTGGACATCTTTTGCTTTATGTCCTGGGAAGCCTCTTCTTCAGTCTGAAAGGTAAGTAATTTCCTTCTGAAAGTGTCACTCGGTATCTGACCCCCAGTTCTTTCTCTTTTTCCATTTTTTTCCCTCTCCATCACAACATATATGCCACATATCCACACATACAAGCTCTGTATCTCATGGTTCCTGCAATAAGCTTGCCTACCGCTACCTTCCCATGGGATTCCAGGGATCCCACTAAGGCCTTGGCCTTATCCCAGGATATGTTGGAGCCACCCTGTAGCTGGGGCAACATATCTGAAACTTGGCATGTTTAAGAAGCAGGGCAGGGCTAGTAGTGATTCCAACACATCACTGATAAAGACACAAGCCCCAGCATCCTATGAATCAGACCCAGCTCTAGGTGGGGTGTTTGGCAATGAACTTGAATTTCCCATTCTAAGGAGAGGGAAGTCCCAGTTCCTGTACCCACTGAGGTTAGCTCTCTAGAATTTGGGGTGCCCTGAAAAATAAAGGAATTTTACTCACTTTTTTCAACCAGTGCTGTACTACAGACACAGCCTCACTTTCCACAACTTCAATGTCCTGCAACAAATTGATAAGTTGATGCCCTCACAACACCCAGAGACCCAGTCCCCCTCTTCCATTCTTATCCAAAGCCATACATTGTAAGATTCTCTCTTTAGAAGTGCAGCAGGGGGCTCAGAAGGGAGAAGATACATGAGGAAATTCTACATAACTGCCACCAGCTTCACTTACTGAACTGGTTTTTGGTGGGAAGGGGAACCCAACACCACTCCGGGCAAGAATATATGCAATCCATGTTGTAATTATCATCTTTGGACTTCTGCCAGGCCTTCTTCTTGGCTCCCTCCTTCCATTGAAGCGGCCTAAGAACTCCTCTGGAACAAGGAAGTTATTGAAGGGAGGTGCCCACCTGATTCGCTGCCCAATAATGATGTCACAATGACCTGCTTTATTCTCCTGGATTAGAGTGGAGATGAAAAAGAGGGATTGGGAAGCAATCTACTTTAGTGATGCCAAAGCTCAGAAATGGGGAGAAGAGGGGAGGGGGATAAGGATAAGACATAGGCAAGATAAGCCTGAGGAAGACATGAGAGGGAAATCAGCAAATCATAGATGGAGATTGGGAGGTGGGGCTTATAGCTGGTCACCCAGTCTTGACAATGCTAAGTAGAAAGAGATTTTATGAATCCAAATAATGAATTTGTAACAAAGTGACCTAGGCCCTCTAGAGATATACATTCAAACAATGCCACCAGCATTTTTTATTCCTATTCTTATATATTGAGGTGGAAAGAGCTTATCTACCCCCCCAAAAAAAAATTAAAGATAGGGGAGTAAAATTCTCACCAAAGACATTTTCTTTATTTAGGTCTATTTTGTTTACACAACTGATTCAAACCATTAATCTAAATAATAAGAGATATAGGATAAAAATGGAACATATCACTTCTTATAAAAGATATTTCCTGATTATTTCGGATCACCCGTGGAGGGCTGCCTAGGTAGATGGACAGTAAAGTGGAAGTGAAAAGGGGTTTGTGTTGTGACTGCAGACAGTTTTTTAGAGGAAAACTGAAAGAGGCTCGGAGAGCTGTTATTTCCACCTAGAACCTTCACCCAGAAATCGAAGGAAGTTTAGAACATCCTACAGGACACTAAGTATATGTTCAGCTGCTCTCAAAAGTAGTTGTAGCCTAACCCCGAGACTGTTGTCAAGGTCTCAGAAACCCAGGCAATAGTCCTGTCTCCACCATTAACTTGTTATGTGACCTTAACCCAGTAATAGGGTTAAGACTAATGATTAGTTGCTGTGGTCCTCCTTTCTTTGTCTTCAAAATGAAAAGAATAGAATAATGTCTCTCGGTTTTTTCTAGCTCTAATATTCTATAGGTGTTCTCATTTTCACTCTTCAAAGAATACTGAAAACCTTTATCTCACTCTCCCCAATTTCTACCATTTTCTTCACTCCCAACAAATCACCTCAATTTTACATCTATATTGGTCAGAATGTGCTAGGCTATGGTGAGGCAACAGACAAGTCTCCAAATCAAAAAAGTTTCTTTCTCATTCTCAAAAACTCCAATACATGTTGAATAATTCTTCAGGGTAGTTGTGCTCCATGTGGTGACTTAGAGATCCAGGAAGAGTTTTATTCTGTGGCTCCATGGTCTCTGGATGTGATTGTCCGTAATTCTCAAGAAGGGGAAGAGAAGACATGGAGGAGTCAAGTCAGCCCTTCAGTTTTAGCCCAAAGTCATCTTCTTAAAGCTTTTTGGCCAACTAACAATCATATGACTTCAGCCTAACTCCAAGGGAGACTAGTAATTGTAAAGTAAAACACAAAATTACTTGTCAACATCTGTTTCTGCCACCATCCTATAAGTAGGTTTCCATCCTTTTGATATTTTATTTTTTTAATATTTAAGACATTAATGAGATTCAAAAATTAAAACTACATAAAAATATGTACTCGGGGAGTTCCATCTCCTCCCCTAGCTCTTCAGCCCTGTTCTTACTTAAAAGTAAAGTTTTTATAAGTGTCTAGGCTATACACCCTGTGTTTATGTTTTCAAAATGAAACAGAGACATAAATCCATTCTCACTTTTCTATTGCTGCACATATGTGTTTTATAAAATACTTACAGTAAAATATGCAAATACATGCACAGCTCAAATTTAAGTGTGCATATACACACACATAAACATAAACATACATATGTATGTTTAACCACAGCCCAGATCACGATGTACAACACTTCCAGTATCACAGCAGGCCCCCCGTCAGTACTCTCCACCAGGTAACCAACATTTCAACCTCAATCACCATAGGTAAGTGTTGCCTAATATTCCATTGTGTTGCCGTAACACAAATTATTTATGAAACTTACTACTGGGGGGCATTTGTGTTATCTCTAGTTAGATGCTTTTTAAAATAATATGGCTAGAAAACATTCTTATACCTATTTTTTGGTTGATATAAGCATTAAAATTTCTGAGTATATACTATACACACCAAACAGTGGAATTTCTAGATCATAGGCTTTGTATGTAATTAATATTAATATATACTGAGTATTTCAAGGTGGTTGTACTAACTACTGTCCAACTGCTGTAGCAACAATTGCTTCATATTCTTGTCAACACTTGGTTTTGTCATTCTTTCGAAGTTTAGCCAGGTGATTGGAGTTATAGTGGTAACCAAGAATAGTTTAATTTGTGTTTGATTAATTCATTACTTGTGTTCAGTACCTGAGTTATATGATAACTCAAGTTTTGAGGAAATATCTAAACATTTTCTAAATGACAGCACCATTTTACATTCACACCATCAATGTGTAAGTTCCAATTTCTCCACATCCTTGCCAACATTGTTATTATGTCATTCTGATTTTAGACATTTTAGTGGGAATGAAGTGGCATCTCATTGTCATTTTGATTTGCATCTCCCTAATTATTAATGATGCTGAGCATCTTTTCTTGTACTTAAAGGCCATTTATGTGTATTCAAATCTTTTGCCATTTTATAATTGGATGACTTGCCTTTTAATTTTTGAGTTGTTTTCAGATCAGGTAGTATAAATCTTTTTCTTCTCAAAATTTTTCTGACTATTCTAGGTCCTTTGAATTTCCATGTAAATTTTAGAATTAGCTTGCCAATTTCCAAAAAAAAATCCTGCTGGGATTTTTGATATGCATTATTTGGAAGCTATAGATCAATTTTATTTAAGTTGTCTAATTTGTTGACATAGCTGTTTATAATATTCCCACCAAATTTTTTTAATATCTGTAGGGTCAGAGGTGGTTTCCCCTCTTTTAATTCCGATTTTGGTAATTTGCGTCTTCTCTCTTCTTTTTCTGCTCATCCTGGCTAAATTATTTTTTAACTTTTCAGAAACCACCTTTGTTCACATGGTTTTCTGTTTCATTGATTTCTAATCCAATCTTCATTTCTTTGTTTTTCTTTTTGCTTGTTTTAGGGTCTCTTTTTTCCTAGTTTATTAAGATGGAGACTTACATTATTGATGTGAGATCTTTCTTCTTTTCTAATATCATTTTCTAAAGGTACCCCTTTTTTCCCCAAAAGATAGCTTTGGCAGTACTGTATAAGTCACATGCATTCAGTTTAACATATGTTCAAATTTCCTTTGGGGTTTTATTTTACCTGGGTTATTTAGAAGTATGTTGTTAAATTTTCAAATATTGGAGATTTCCCAAATTTCTCCTTATTGTTGATGTCTAATTTAATTATTTATGGCCAAATAATATACTTTGTTTTATTTCAATTCTTTTAAATTTATTGAGACTTGTTTTATGCTATAGCATATGATCTTAGAGAAGATTCCAAGTGTACTTATAAATATGCCTGTTCTGCTGCCATTAGTCAGAGAGTTCTCTCACTATCAGGTCAGTCTTCTTTACTCTTTGACTTTCTGTCTAGTTTCTCTACCAATTACTGAGATCAGGTATTTAAAACTCTAACTGGTTGAATTGTTTATTTCTCTTTATAATTCTGTCAGTTATTGCTTCATGTATTTAGGACTTTTATTTCAAGCATAGACATTTATAATTGATATACCTTTCTGATAAATTAACTCTTTTGTCATTATGTAATGTCCCTTTTTATGTCTACTAATATTTCTTAAAGTCTACACTGTCTGTTATTAATAGAGCCACTCCAGCTCTGTTATGGTTACTGTTCTTATGGCATATACTTTCTACCCTTTTACTCTTTTAAACTCTTGTGTCTTTGAATCTAAACTCTGTCTCCTATATACAGCATATGGTAAGATCTTTTTTTAATTCAGTCTAACAATCTCTGCCTTTGATTAGAGAATTTAGTTCATTCACATATAATACTCTTATTGATATGTTTGAATTACTGTCATGAAGCTTCCCCTCCCTGTTTTCTTTAAAAGTTTTATAGTTTTAGCTCTTAATGCAGATTTTTAATCTATTTTAAGTTAATTTTGATATGCAGTATTAGGTAAAGGCCAACCCTACTTTTCCATGTGGGATCCAGTTTTTCCAACCCCATTTGTTGAAGAGACTGTTTCCCCCATTGAATAGTCTTGGCAGTCTGATCAAAAATTATTTTACCATACATGTGAGGGATGATTTGGGGGTTCATTATTCTATTCCATTGGCCTACAAGTCTGTCTTTTTTAATTACCATGCTGTATTACTTACTGTAGCTTTGTAATATATTTTGAAACCAAGGAGTGCGAAACCTCTAACTCTATTCTTTTTCATCAAGACTATTTTGGCTATTCAGAGTTAAGATTCCATATCAATTTCAGGGTAGTTCTTTTTTTTCTGCAAAAGATATCATTGGGATTTCAATAGGCATTGCATTAAATCTGTATATTGCTTTAGGTAGTATGGATACCTTAACAATATTGTCTTTCAGTCCATGAATATAGGATGTCTTTTTATTTATTTGTGTTTTCTTCAATTTGTTTCACAATATTTTATAGATTTCAGTGTATAGTCTTTTTTCTCCTTGGATAAGTTTGTTCTTAAGTATTTTATTCTTTTTAGTGATATTGTAAATGGAATTGTTTTCTTAATTTCTTTTTCTGATGATTTATTGCTTATGTTTAAAAATACAAGTTTTTGCTGAATATGCTGAATTTTTGCTGAATTTTTAAATTAATTCTTACAGGTTTTTGTGGATAGTTGGAGATAGACTTCCAGCACTATGTTGAATGTAAATGGTGAAAAGAGGAACTTTTGTCTTGTTCCTCATCTTAGAGGAAAATCTTTCAGTCATTCACCATCCAATATGATGTTTGTTGTGGGTTTTTTATAAA